ATATCAATTTTACTTTTCATTCAATAAACCTTAAAATCCCCAAAATTGACCTCTAAATTTTTGTTTTTGTTCTAAAATTTGTTCATTTATTTTATGCAATTAATAATCTCACAAAAATATTGTGCATATATATTCTCATATTCATCACAAAAACCATATTTTTATAAATATATATATTATATAACATTAAAAACAAAAAAACCCGAAATTCCTAAATTCGAGCTCCAAAAAACCCTAAATTCCTAAAACTGAGCTCCAAATTTTATTTTTGTTGTTAAAAAATCATTCTTTTATTTATTGCAATAAATAATACTAGTCAAATATTGCCTGAAAAATCCTAAAAAAGCTGCAAAATTAAGAAAAAAATTAAAAAAATTTGTGTTCGGGCTTACCTTGTCTGCTTCAATCTCAAAATCGAGCCTCAAATCTCTCCATTTCAGTGAAATCAGGACTCTTGAAGTATATGTATCTCTGTGATCATTAAAATCCCCAACTTTTTATCGAAAAAAACTGAAAAACTAGACCAAAATCAAAAGAATGATGGATTTTTCATAAAAAAACTCAAGAACACCAAAAAAATGCTCCAAAAATCACCAAAATCGATTTAATCTTGGAGTTTTTGATTCAATATTGATATATTTGAAGGTATAGTATAATTATTGAGCAAAAAAAAACAAAAAAACGGCACAAAAGCGCATCAAAAAGCTTTAAAAAATGGCAGATCACGGGTTCTACTCAAATAGCGCCAGACAACGCCGTTATTACGTTATATCGCCCGATATAACGCCAAACCGGACCGGTTTTCACAAAACCGGCCGGTTTTGTCAAAATTTCACCGGTTCAAGGTCCAACCGACAGGTTTTTTAAGCTGATTTTTTTCAGAATGCCTTGTTTTTTTACTAGTACACTAAAACCTGACCTAATCGGAATCGCCACCCCATCGTTAGCGAGCTAACCAGCCGGTTTTTCGAACACTGTTTCATGGTGTCCAACATTAGCATGCTCTGGCTGTTGATGGATGACCTACTGGGCGTGAGTAAACCTCGGCTTGTCACAATATATTTATTTATTTATTATTGAGTAAGTGCAATATTCACTAGGAATTTTAGATATTTGGAATTCAAGGAAATCTATGGATTTTCAAAATCAAGGATTTTTGTCATGGATTTATCAAATCTCTTGTTTGGATAAACTATACAAAATTTATGGATTCCTTGCAATCACTTTCATGTCCAATGTTTGGTAACAAAACTTGATAAAATTTCTCTCTCTAAAATTTTTATATACTCTCTCTCTAAAACTCAAAATTGGGGATAACGTATCTATAGAAAATTTGATATAGTTTCTCTCTCTAAAATTTTGAAGTAGCTTCTCTCTTTAAAATTTGATATACTGTCTCTCTAAAATTTGATATACTTTCTCTCTTTAAAGTTTAAAATTTTAGATATTTTCTCTTTCTAAAACTTAAATTTTGAGATAGTTTCTCTCTAAAATTTTTTTGAGATAGTTTCTCTCTCTAAAAATTTCATGTACTTTCTCTATCTAAAATTTGATATAGTTATTTCTCCAAAATTTTAAAATACTTTCTCACTCTAAAACATAAATTTTGCGATAGTTTTTCTCTCCAAAAATTTTACAGTTAGAAACCAAAATTTTTTAGATAGTTTCTATCTCTAAAAATTTTTAGGTAGTTTTTCTCTCTAAAAATTGATATAATTTTTATTTTTAAATTTTTAATATATTTTCTCTCTCTAAAATTCCAAATTCAAGATTGTTCTCTCTAAAACTATAAATTTGAGATAGTTTCTCTCTCTAAAAAAATGAGGTATTTCTCTATCTAATTTTTTTTGGCAGTTTCTCTTTCCAAAATTTATAATAATTTCTCTCTAAAAGTTTAAGAATACTTTCTCTCTCTACAATTTTAAGAATATTTTTTCTCTCTAAAAATTAAGATTTGATATATTTTCTATCTTTAAATATTAAAATGAGATTGTTTTTCTCTCTAAAAGTTATGAAATAGTTTCTCTCTCTAAAAATTTGAGATAGTTTATCTCTCTAAAAATTTGTATGTACTTTCTCTCTCTAAAATATGATAGTTTATATTTAAAATTGAGATAGTTTCTCTCTCTAAAATTTTGAAATAGTTTATCTCTCTAAAAAAAATTGGTACTTTCACTCTCTAAAATTTTATCATATTCTCTCCCTAAAAGTTAAATTTTGAGATAGTTCTCTCTCTAAAATTTTGAGATAGTTAATCTCTCTAAAAAAATTGGTACTTTTCCTCTCTAAAATTTTAGCATACTTTCTCTCTCTAAAATTTTGAGATAGTTCATCTTGTTAAAAAATTTTGGTAACCTATCTTCTCTCTCTAAAATTTTAACATACTTTCTCTCTCTAAAATTTTAATATACTTTCTCTCTCTAAAAGTTAAAATTTCATATAGTTTCTCCCTCTAAAAATTTTGAGATTGTTTTTCTCCTTAAAAAATTTAAGTACTTTCTCTCTCTAAAATTTTCATACCTACCAAATGCTCTCTATGTTTCGGGTTGAGGGAGCCAATGAGTGAAATCCATGGGCCTTGGAAATGCAAAAAAACAGATTTTGGTGTGGAAATGAAATCATAGAAAAGTAAGTCTTATTTTCATGATTTTGATTTTCCTGATTTTAAGTATCCTAGTTATTAAGCAATCCAAACGATAGATTTTGGCAAAATCCAATATATTAGGAATCTATGTCTTAAAATCCATGTACCCAAACAGGCCCTAAGATAATGAAAGGTTAAAAAAAAAAAAAAAAACATAATGTGCCATGTTCTACTTAATCTTGACACTATTTTACCTCTCTCGTTGTTCTCTATCAAGGGTCATAATTTTGGTGACATTCATCCCCTGATTCTCGATTCTCAGATTGAGGCCTCGCTCATCTTTCATGATATCCTTTGTCCAATTAGTTGGGCACATGGGCTTCCACTAAAAACCTTGTGTCACTAGATTCATCCAAATGAATCAAACCTCTCTTCTATTCTTCTATGGAGAGAATTTATATAAGGTTCCAAACTTATACGGTGTCTCAAAAATCAAGTAGAAAAGAGCATTCTTTAAGTTCGAAAATCTTCGAATTGATGGATCTTGAAATGTATGGATATAAAAAGAAAGAATTTGAGTTGTAAAAATAATACATCTTGTAATAAAGTATTTGGGCTATTTATTTTCAAGTACTTATAGATCTACTCAATTTCTGTCATTTTTTAAATCTTAAATTTTATAATTAAAGTTGAACACAGATTTTCAAGCCATTAAAAGATGAATAACACCAAAAGTATATCTTTTAACAAAATTTAGAGGTGCGCATTCTTACATTGTATAAGATGTGCACCTCATACAAATCTCACCCTCCTATTCCAACCAAAGCGTCTCTTCACTCTCTTGCTTACTTCTCCATCCTTTTTATTCTTTTTCTTTTTTGTCTTATGTTGCCCCAGAGGCTATCCAACCAAATTGTTGAAAAATACAATAAAAACCAAATTTATTTCTTTGGGAAAATCAAATTTATTATTTATTACTTTATGATGAACATAGTTTTGAAACTGGGATTTGTGGGGTGGATCGTCAATTATCATTATTGGATTGGTGGATCGCTGATCTGGATTGGTTAGGATTAGTGATCTAAAAAATAAAAGATGAAAAATAAAAAAAATTAAAATAGGTTTTGGGATTTTTGTGGGACATAGGAAATAATTAGATAGCTTTATAAATAGGGAAAAATTTATATAGAGCCGAGGCTCTAAACAATCAAATTGAAGCCTGCCACAAAAATTTCACTAGAAGTGATTGTTTTGATGCTTAAATATCTTCAAATTGATCATCTCGACATCAAGATATATGAACATGAAAAAAAAATGGAATTCAAGTTTTGAAAATAGTGTATTTTGTAATGCATTTTTAGACCATTACTTTTCAAGATTTTCAAGTTTTCTTAGATATGTCGATCCACACTATTTTTTAAGCTTTAAACTTTATAAATAAAGATAAAAATATATTTTAAGACTATCACAAAGATTTCCAGTATTGAAACTACATTTCTCGATACTATTTGAAAGTAGGCTCTAATTTGATTGTTTAGAGGTAGGCTCTATACAAACAAACGGCACCATTCTAAATATGGGAAAAGTTTATATAGAGCCGCTGCTCTAAACAATCAAATTCGAGCCTACCACAAAAATTTCACTAGAAGAGATTGTTTTGATGGTCAAATATCCTAGAATTCATCATCTCGACATCAAGATGCATGGACATGAGAAAAAAAATGGATTTCAAGTTTTGAAAATAGTGTATTTTGTAACTCACTTTTGGACTGTTAATTTTCAAGATTTTCAAGTTTTTATAGATCTCTCGATATACACTATTTTTTAAGCTTTAAACTTTATAAATAAAAATAAAAATATATTTTAAAGCTATCAAAAAGATTTTCAGTTTTGAAATCATATTTCTCTACACTGTTTGAAGGTAGGCTCTAATTTGATTGTTTAAAGCATAGGCTCGCTACAAAAGGCACCTTCAAATATTCATAGGAATATTTTTAATGCAGTTTGTATAGAGCTTAGGATCTAAACAATCAAATTAGAGCCTACCTTCAAATACTATCGAGAAATGTGGTTTCACTATTAGAATCTTTGTGATAGCCTTAAAATATATTTTTCATAATTATTTATAAAGTTCAAAGCTTCAAAAATAGTATAGATCGGCATATTTATGAAAACTTGAAAATCTTGAAAATTGACGGTCTAAAAATGCGTTATAAAATACACTATTTTTAAAATTTGAAATCTAGTTTTTTTTCATGTCTATGCATCTTGATGTTCAGATGATCAATTTGAAGATATTTAGGCATCAGAATAACCTTTTTTAGTTAACTTTTTGAGGGAGCCTCAAATTTAATTGTTTAGAGCCTAAGCTCTATATAAACTTTCCTCTTTGTTTAAGTTAATAAAAAATAAAATCCCCTATTCCGTGACGTGCCCGGTTACGGAAAATCGAAACCCTAGAACTCGGCAACTCCGATCACTGTCATCCCCCTCTTTTCTATATTGAATTCGAAGCACTTCAAAAACATCGAAGCCCTCTGCTTTCTCGCCTGGCGCAAATCCTAGCTCTCCATAAAGCAGCGACTGGTCTCTCCTTTGATTTTCCATTCAAACCAGGTTAAACATTGGTTCTAAGTCAATTCCCTTTCTCATTTCTATTGAATCTGCTCTTCTAAATTAGGGCTTAGAGCTTTCCCTTCACTTCTTGATTTAAATTAGCGAAGTTGGGTGTTTTTCTTTGTGTGGATGTGTGTTTTGCAAGCTCCAATACGAAATATTGTTTTTTTCTCTATTTTTTGAATGGCCAATCTAATTCTAATGTGAGATTCAATTGAAAATAATGGCAAATTTGATAACACTTTGGGAACTGACCTGCTCAGTTAGCCTATTTTGGACCTGGCCGAGCCACCCTCTTGGGCCTCAGAAAAAGTATTGGGGCTGAACCAGGGCCTATTGCAGGGAAAAAAAAAAAATTTGGGCCTAGGCCTAGCCCAAAAAGTTTGGCTTTGGCTCGGGCCAGCGCGTTCTTGGTGTTGTCTGATAAATTTCACAAAAATATTATATCATCTAATTTGGTTTCATTTATGTGTTTGCATGGCTGGTTCCTTGTTGCAGTTAAAGGGTGTACCTTGACTTGGATATCCAATGAGGCTAGAGAAGTGTTGGTTCTGTTCCAGCACGATTTATCCAGGTCATGGGATTCAGTTTGTTCGCAATGACTGCACAGTATGTTCCTTTTTTTGTTAAATTGCTAGCATTCTTTGTTTAATTTTATCTTCTTCTTTTTTTCTGGTTATAACTGCAGTATAGTTTTCAATCAGTCCAGTTTTTGAGGGATTTGTTTTGTAGTTCGAAAGTGAGATGAGTGAATATGAAGGGTTACGTTAGATGATATCCAACACATGACTAAGATTTTAAATAAGTTCAGCGAGTTTATAGTGACCAATTTCCTTTTGATCTTAATTTTTCTAAATGGATGAGCTTTCATAGCTTACAACCATTAGTATTGACTCCTAGTATATTAGGCATCATATATCTTTCCTATGATCTATGAATTATCTTTTTGTTTTTAGCTACCAGATTCTCTTGTTTTGCATCATATGCTTGAGACAAAATGCTGTTGCTCAATATTTTTGTGATTATATTAAAGTTTTCTACCCTTAATTATACTGTTATATTTAGGATCTTGTTTCTGTTTCGCTCTTCATTCAGCCAATTATTCTTTTAGTTCATTCAGCCAATTATTCTTTTAGTATCGTTAGCAATCCTAGGTGCTCATAAATATTTATAGATTGGGTAATATCAGAAAGTTCCATTGGGTGGTGGATTCAAAGCAGTCATTTTATTTGTGAAAGGGTTGTTTCCAGAGTCAGTCTTGATCTGTGTGGTGATCACATCAGTAGGTTTCACTTTCTTTGAGATTTAGCTCCTCCATTGTTTTTTCTTTAAGTGCGGAAAGAGATGTAATAAATTATGACACTACTTTTTTCCTAAAATGATAATTTCTTATGCGAGTGGGATCCTTTTCATGACATATGTGAAATATGTCACGGTCAGGCGCAGGGTCGTCATCTGGATGGATCGAGCAAGAAGCATATGCCCACTCAAGAGCAGGAAGCGGGCTTTGCAAGGTCAAACTATTAACAGGATTTGCTTGTAGAGCTAAGCTATGGTTTGAGAGTGCTTTAATTCTTAGGGATGTGAGTGTGTAGTGGGTTGTGGTGGTTGGGTGCATTTATTTTAAAGTGTATTGTTTATGCATGTAAAAGGAATTACTTGGCAGTGAACACTACATTTTTACCGCACCATATCCTAGTCGGTAATCCACTTATAATAACCTGAAATTGCAGTACAGACAGCTTCAAGCTGGCACCTGATATTACCATTTCAAAAATGCAGACGCATGGTATTTTGACACCTATCCTGCTAAAGGTCTTTGTGGAGAAAGTGAGAAACCAAAGACAAGAACCAATTCATATCAAATCATTCACTATCCATGTCTCAAAGATTGAGCCACTAAGATTTGTAATTTAATTCAACCTCATTAGGTGCGTGTGCTATAAAGGAATCCTCCAAATAATTGCGGAATGAGGCGCATTGCTTTCGTGGGGGGTAAGGTTATCTGTCTCAGAATAGTGCTCTTCTTGGAGAACATTTGAGCATGCAATTTGCTAGTTTTTTAACTGAGAAAAGTTCACTCTATGGTTCTTTATCTTCTTCCCCAATCTTTTCTTTACTATGGAACAAAGCTTCGTAAATGTCACTTTGCTTTTGTTTATTTTTGGATGGGTTGGAAAGAGCTCTTTTGTGACCTATGGAGAACCCCCAAGAGAAGTATGTACGCAATCACGAGATCTTGATGATCAAATATGTTAGAAGTGATTTTCATATTGGGTCCAAGGAGGCTTGCAATGTCACCTCTTTAGAGGATATCTAAGAAATTGCTAGATTGCTCGAGATTCCTTGCAACATAAACAGTATTGTTTTGGTCCTTTGTCTAGATGTGGACGTATGTTAGAATGTGTGGGATGAGTCTTTACTGAAATAAAGTTAATAATAAAATATTACGGTTGGTTATCCTAAATCCAAAATTAAAATCTGAACTAAATAAATGCATCCGGAGACTGCTTCATTTACAAGATTCTTTCTTATGATATTAATGGTTGGATTAATTTAATTGGTGCTGATTTTATTGATACATTTGAATGTTGCAGTTATGATATGTGATCTGGGGGAAAGGACTTCATTGTATGCAAAATAAAAGAAAATTAGACTGAATATCTGCAACCATGAAAACTTGTTTGTGGAGTTGTATTTAGACTAACCTAGTACCTATTGCTACTATTTATGTATTTGCCTTTTTCATGATGTAATGTTCGGCATAAATTATTTGTGAGGCTTTAATCGCAGTTCTAATCTCATTGCAATTCTTCTCTTTAATATTGCACAGGTTTTCAAGTTTTGCAGATCCAAATGCCACAAGAACTTCAAGATGAAGAGGAATCCTCGTAAAGTGAGATGGACGAAGAAATATAGAGAATTGCATAACAAGGACCTTGCACGGGTATTTTCGATTTCTGTTGGGTGGTTCTTTCCACCATCCTTTAGTACAAGTTTTCTAACCTGGTTACATTTTTTATTTTACCATCAGGATACAGTCTTTGAATTTGAAAGAAAGCGTCAGAGACCAGAGAGATATGATAGAAATCTTGTGGAGAACACTCTGAAAGCTATGAAGAAGATTGATGAAATTAGAGTAACCAGGAGAGAGAAATTCTGGCTAAACAGGTATTTCTCCTCATTCTCAGAATTCTCTAGATCAATCAATACACTCTTTAAGATGAACTTGTATAATGGAAAAGGAATACACTCTTTTAAGAAAAATGTCAACTATATAAGGATCAAATTGTTTGCACTATCTCATTTAGTGAGACTTCTCCTTAACATCTTTGAATATCCAAGTACCTTTCGGGCTTCTCTAATTCACAAAGCATTTGACAAAGCACGTTTTGGGCTTCTCTAATCCACAAAGCATTTGACAAAGCAGTTTCTAACATTTCGCATCACCATCAGTTCAGAAATCATGATCTTAGTCTCTGATATAGTTTTTTTTTTTCATATTATCAGTATTGGTCAATCCTGGTGAGCAAAATAAAAAATTGGGTCTTATGTGAGGTTACAATTTTAGTGCTGGGTTGATTCACCTTTATTTATTTTTGCTCACTTCTATTTCCATCTCTCAGTTATTTTTGTAGTTGAAGAGCATTCCTGTATATTACATTGTTGATTTTTCTTTTTAGGGGTAAATTAGCCATCATTAGATCCTCTACTCTTATGTGCAAGTTGAATTTCTTACTGGTCTAAAGGCGAGTTTATGTTAAAAAATGGAGTTGAAAGCCTCCCAAATAAGTTTACTTCTTTCTGGTACTATATGGTTTATTTGGAGTTGAGGGAGAGGTTGTTGACGAGGATTGGTCAGTTAAGATTAACAAATAAATAAACAAATAAATAAATAAAAAGGATTATTTGCAGGGTGACTAGAGGTACTAACAATTGGCCGTTTTAAAAAAATTGAGCTTTTTCTTTCCTAGTATTGTTTTTATTGGAGCAGAATTTCCTTTCCTAGAGGTAGCAATAGAGTAGACCATTGTTCAATGGTACTGCATGATATAATTTCAGGCGGTTATTATTGGCTTTGATGGTTTGTTATTTGATGCTTCATTGATGTTATAAATGCAATGTCCAAATGAATCACATGATCATGGGCTTGGATACACGTCCATTTTGAGTAGCATATGCACACTTCACCCTTCGGCCCTTTGCCTACTGCATACATTTTCCTTTGGATCTTTGGTAATTACATTGGAATAGCGATTGAACTTTTTATCCAATTACAAGAAAAAAGACAGTACTTCAAAACTTATAAATTTTTCCATCGGGAACTTTATTTGCAGAATGAAAGTAAAGAAGAGCAAGGAGAAAAAGGAAGACTTAAAGGAGCTGGAGCAGGGAATAGACTTGGTGAAAGCCCCTCTTGCGTTCCAGGAGGATTCTACCTTAACTATTCCGAAGGCCAAGAAGATGAAAGTGGTGATCACGAAACCAGAAGAAGAGAGACGTCAAATGGAAGAGTGAAAAGATATTTTCCTTATCAGAAATGCTTTACCTGTTCTCTTGTTATACTTTGCTTGCTTCTTTTTTTTTTGGGTGGGTTGTTGATTTTACCTGGCTTTGCAAGAATTTAAATGGATGAGTGAAGTCATATTAGTTTCTCTTCTTATTTTGTTTTATGGTTATTGGGATCTTTTTGGTAAACCATTGCCAAGTTGAATTGGACAATCTTTTTGAAATCCTGCTTCCTGAGGCGATGCTGTGGAAATTTTGTACCACTACAGGAGATGCTATGGAAATTTTGTACCAATACAAGAAGAAAAATACTCTTTTCCCTTTTCTTCTTTAATATGATTATGACTGCCCCAGACGACCTTTTGTAGAATTGTGGCTTACAGAATGATATACTTAACTTCCGAACAGAGCTTAGTTTCCTACTAAAGCACAGCACCCTTCAAGTCATGACAACATAAATTTAAAAGTGCTTTACTCTGCGTGAAGGAAAAATTCAGGTCGTGGCGTTCTACGGTTCCCATGAGTTCTGGTTAGTAGTTTATGTACTGGTTAGTAGTTTATGTACTGACTTACGAACCACTAACCATCTTTTACCTTTACTACTGTGATTCTTTGCTATTGCTAAGCGTTCTTGCCCTTTGACATGTCCTCCAATATGTTTTAATGTTCAGCTTTGTTCCCCATAATAGGAATTTGAGGTTGCCTTTATGTATTAGAGAACAGAAGCTGTTATTTTTGCAGAACAGCTGATTTTTTAACCTTGAACAGAAGTGCACCTGGGCCATTTCTTTGTGGTCTGCACGTATCACAGAGTTTTGTATCTCTAGATTTGCACCATATTTGGAACTTCAAGGATTAACAATGAAAGATCCGACATCGAAGACAGTATGGCAGTTACCTCTATATATAGAAAATTGAACCATGGGCATGCACCTTGTTCGTTGGAAGGAGAGACGGTTGACATCTCCCCTGATATCGACGGGAACAGCCTTCGGGCTTTCTTGTTACAGAATGCAGATGATCAAGGCACCCCACCTCATTGAAGTGGATCTTACCTGATTTTTTTGATAAATTATTACACATTTTCTTTTATAAGTTAGTCTAAATTTTAAAAACTTGAGAGAGGTGGATAAAAGTTATTCTTTTGTATCAACTTAGTCTTTGTGATTTTGAGTTTTTGATAAATTATTACCTATTTTCTAAATTATACCTATTTTCTGTCATAAATTAGTCTAAAGCTTTAAAAATAGAGGTAGGTCTATTTTTAATGGACAAAATTTATTTTTTTAAATCAATTTAGTCTTAATTTTTTATTTCTTTTTAAAAATACAGCTGGGTCTTACACTATATTTTTATACAGTAATCTTTGATAATTTAGTATATTTTTTTGATAAATTAGTCTTAAATTAAAAAATAGAGGTGGTTCGTACATATTGCTTTATAAAGTAATCTTTGATAAATTAGTCATGTTATTTTATGATTAATTAATCTTAAATTTATAAAAATAGAGGTAGGTCTTACACAATATTTTTATAAATTGATCTGAATTTTTAAAGGAGAAAAGTATTTTTGCCAATCAATAGTCTTAATTTTTTTTCAACAAAATAAAAAAAAAATCAATAATAGAGGTGAGTTTTACACTATGTTTCCTATTTTATTTTTTTTAATAGAGGTGGGTCTGACAGAATGTTTTTTTGTAAATTGATCTCTTTTTTTAAGGAGAAATTATTTCTTGTAATCAATTTACTTTTTTGAGAAAAACTACAGAGGCGACTCCTACACAATGGTTTTTAAAAAATTATCTTAATTTAGCGAGAAAATTTATTTTTGTTAACCAATTTCCAGAATTTCAATGAAATTTCTTTCACAGGGTTGGATCTTAAACCAATTTTTCTCTATGAACAAATCTTACCCAATTTTTTTGGCAAAGTAGTCTTAATATTTTTTGATAAATTAGTCTTAAATTAAAAAAAAATCAAGATAAGTCTTACACAAGTTCTTTACAAATGAGGTGGGTCTTGCACAATGTTTTTTTAATATCTTTTGAGATTGTATGTAATGAGACCATTTACCTTTAATACAAGGAGGTCGAATTCTTTACAACCATCTGATAGAAAATCTGATTGTTTGGGTGTGTTATAAAATTCAAGAATTTTTTCTATTGCAATCATCTAATTTTACTTTCAATAGTCAAGATTAATTGTGACCATTTTGAACTGAAGATAAATAGTCATTGTATACTTTTTTATTATCTTTTTCTCTTTTTTTAAAAGAAAAGCAGTTGATCCACAGTCCAACCCACTAACTAACGGATGGATTTACTGATATCCTTTTAGGCATAGATAACCTTTCCATATCAACTTTCACAGCAGTTTCAGGATGTACAATAAACCATACAATATAATTATCTTCGAGGTCGGGAGGTTGAGTTTCTCTGCATAAATCAACAGAGGAATGGGGCTACTGATGCCTTCGCTAGAGATACGTTTTGCATTCTTACATCCTCTTCACGCTCTTCCTTGTTCACCCTTTTCTTGTTGTTTTGCTCTTTCTTTTTGTTTCTTCAGTCTTTCGTTTCTGCTGTATTGTATTTTTCATTCCTACAATGAAAATTCATTGTTAACTGTTCCAAAAAAAAAAAAATTCCAACATACTCTCTCTCTCTCTCTCACTCTCACAATTTTGTGGTTGTAAGCCTCAATCTTATCTTGCTTGCTACCAGAGTCAACAGTTTCAATTAGTGTTGGCCAAGGCCAGTCAGAAAAGTATTAGAAAAATTTTTAAAATAAAAATATTGAAAAATATATTTCTAGATGATTTTGATGGATTTTAAGATGACTTGGAAACTTGTTGTACCATGATTTAATTTTTATTTTTTAAATTTTCTAAAATACATCCACCTGTGTAGATATTATCATATATATCCAGAAAGCACCTTTGGAAGAAGCTTGTACCCTTTGTAAAGGGTTTTTATTGATAAAAAAGAAAGATAATTCAAAATCTTATTTTCTAAATTTTCTTCAGCTTTGACAATCTTTTTACCATTCCCATCACTTACCTTACTTTTGCTATTTTGAAGTACTTTTTACAAAATTTTGTAATTTTTTATTTTTATTTGTTATTATTTCCTGTGGGGTGAGGGAAGGGGCGTATTTTGGTTAAAAAAAATTTACTTTTTTAGTGGAGGGTAAGAAAAATAGTATAGAAGCCGTATAAGAAAGGGCAGATGCCTAAAAAGTAGAAATTGGGGGATGTTAATAAATTTTTTATAGAAAAAGATGGGTTACAATCATATCTTGCACATCACATGAACTTTGGAAACCTGGATGCCATCCATGATCAATGCCATTAAGTTCACTTTGAAGCTTGAATAGATACGAAGCGGATTGAGAAATCAAAGCCTTCATATGAAATGAGAACAAGAGATATCTCCTAATACATTAGAATATGGAGGCCAATACTACTTACAGTATGTCATTCAAAATTTGACCAATGGAATACAAAATCAGTGCTCTTGACAAAAAAAAAAAAGAAAGAGAGAGAGATACAAAACCAGTGCTCAGAAAGAGAAAGAAAAGCCTTGATGGACACATGGTGAGCTAAACCCAAATCTCATGAACCCAAAGTCAAGAGAGAGAGAGAGAGATTTGAGTCCTAGGCAACGAGACTGAGAAAAGCATCTCTGATGAATCCATGGACATCACAAGGATTGAGAGCCAAGTAACAGTAAACCAGTTCTTCCACCTCAGCCCACTCTCTCACTTCTTTCTCTCTCATCATCTGAATTATGGAGACCCTAAAGTCCATGGAAGGATCCAAAGAATATTGAACTGCACATATGCTATCTGCAAAGAGGCCATGAACATCAGTTGGCAAGCTTGCGGAGAAGCTTGTGATATGCTTCTTTCTCTCTCTTCGCATTTCTTCTTCTCTCTAACACAACACAGTTATGGAAATGTATATATAAAGCCTGCATGGTGGTGGAGACTGTTTCTTTACTTAATTAATGAGAATCAGATGGGCAAGGTGGTCATTGTTCTTTAAAGTGGTCAGTGGGATTTGCAGAAATGGGGCCTCACCATGTGAATTCAGTCAAGGAAAAGGCTCCTACCATTAATTATTATTATTATTATTTTTTTTATGTTTTAAAAAGAAATTTTTTTCAAGGAGAATTCTCTTCCCATAAATAAAAGTGCTATGCTCCTGCAGGACCACACAATATACTTACTCTCTCAAGAAAAAGAGCTATTGGAAGTATTTTTGGGACACGTGGTTTCGATTAGTCCCTGGACTCCTATGGTGGAAATGTTCCCCTCTTAAAAACCCATTTTTGAAATGGATTTTAGCCCTAATTTTTAAGGAATATACAATCTCTAACATGGAGATGGAGATGATTAGTAAGGTAAAATAAATAAATTTTAAAAGATGATAAGTTTTTGAAAAACAAATTCATTTTTTTTGTGGGGCACTACATTTAGGTTTATGCCTTAGGGAATACAAATATAGGTATGTGCTCTCCACGCATATAACACTTCTTTTTATATCCAAAACTTTTGGATCTATGTAAGAATCACCGATTGATTATTTTCAGAGAAATAAATTTGAATTTTGAGCTCTTCAACACTTAAACCTCTCCTTAAAATTCAACGGCTTATGTTCAATACTGGGATGTTAATATTTTCAGACAAATGCACTTTATTTATTTATTATAGAAAAAGTTCATTTAAGGTTGCAACCTTACACTATAGAAGTATGGTCCACATCAAAAATCTAGTAGAAAAGAGTTTTTTGGTGTTCAAAAACCTTTCAATTGATGATTTGGAACCTCGACATACACATACAGATAAAAGAATTTGAAGTTATTTGAACATTCTATTTTTAATAATGCATCTTGTAACAAGTTATTTGAACAGTCTATTTTTAATATTTTCAAGTGTTTATAGTTGATCTATACTATTTTTTTAATTTTATAATTAGGTTTGAACATGGATTTTCAAACTATCATAAAGTTTTCAACCCTGGAACTATATATTTTGCTAAAATTTAGAGGTGTGCCTTGCGTGTATACTATAAGATATGCAACTTAAACTAACCTCACCTTTATTTTTTGTTGTTACTCTCTTATGCAGGGAATAAATGGGCAATATACTGCTATGTGAGTGTAAAACTGTTTGATATTAAAAGACAAAAGTTATGGAAAAGGTTTATATAAGGTTGTAATTTTAAAATGTAGAATTAAAGTGCACCTACAATTTCTATCGTAAAAAATTGTTTTGGAATTGGAAAAGTCTCTAATTGATACATCCTAATGAATTTTGACACAAAATTTGATGGTGCATCTTATTTTGATTATTT